TAAGTTGCCAAAGTTTGAGCATAGTCAGTTTTAAATTTTTTAAGTTATATTCCTTGAACGTTCGTGCCTTGTATGGAAAACCTGTGCACGGAGGAATCGACTCGCGGCTAAGTTGCGCCCTTGATTTGTTTTCGAGTCCGCTCAACAATACAAGCGAGCTGCAACTAGTCCCGACAAGATTTCTTGCCGGAGGCAGCACCGCCAGCGGGCTGCTGATGTTTCGCACTCAGCAAGTGTGCTTGCGCCGGCAAGTTCCCTCAAAGCGTAGGGCAAAAGCATGCAAGGGATGTAACGGAGAAAAGGATATAACATAACGAGCGTTGCCCAGAATAAAGTTATATTACAATAATGACTTATTGTGGCACTGACTAGATTGTTCTCATAACTGGAAATGCAGCGGCAGGAAAAAGGGAGAAGAAGGGCGGCCTAATCCACACGCTCGCCGTCGACCCTCCTAACTTCGTTGATCTTGTCCACGATGGGTGCGACGATGGCTTTGAGCTCTTCGAGATCAGCACCTGTCGGCAGCTTCTTGGTGACACGGGTGAGGTCGACGCTCGGGTTGCGAAAGAGTATCTTCGCCAACACCTTCTCCAGGACCTTGGTGCAGATCGCGCGCGACTCGTTGGCCAGCTGCTTCGGGATCCTTTCCCGGAGCTGCTGGAGAGCCGTCACCACATCCTTGAAGAAAAGCGTGAGCTTGGTGCTGGGCTGGAGATTCTCCTCAGTGGAGTACCCGAAGCCCGCCAAGTCTAGCTCCGCCAGCTCCTCGTCGATGGACGCGGCGATGTTGACGAGGCCCTCCGTCCAGAGCTCCACCATGGTCTTGAAGGTGTTCTGGGTCTCGGCGGCCCTCGTCAGCAGCTCCTCGTTGCCCTTGAGCTCCTTCCTCAAGTCATCCTCTCGCTTCTTGGCGGCATCCAGCGTCCCCGCCAAGGTGGCCAGCTTCGCCTCCAGATCATCGCTTGAGTCCTTGGCGGCATTCAGCTCCTTGATTTTCTCGGCAAGTTGAGCTTGCAGATCGCCATGGGCAAGTGCGTCCTTCTCACGCTCGCGCTGGAGTGCGGCAAGCTCTTCATTCTTCTTTCCCATATCTGCCTCCAGCCGCGCCACCCTCTCCTCTAAATCCTTCTTGGCGGCCTCGGCGGCCGCGGCTGCGTCCTTTGCCTCCTTGAGCGTCCCGCCAAGTGATTGCTCTCGTGCCTCGAGCTCCTCCTCGTGACTGTCCAGACTAGCTTTCTTCTGCGTCAGCTCACCTTCCCGCCTGGACATCTCCTCGGCGGCGAGCCTCTGCTGCTCCTCGGCTTCAGCCTTCTCCAGGATGAATGCCTCCTTTGCCTCGCCAAGCCACACCCTCTCCTCTGCGATGGATCGGAGGGCCTCCTGGTTGCGGTCCCGGAGCTCTTGCGCATGTTTCTCTATGTCGACTCCCGCCTGCGCGACGAGCGCCTCCCGGGACTCGAGCTTTGCTTGCCGGGCGCGGTAGAGTGACACCAGCTTCCGGAGCAACTGCTCCTCCTCCGACTCGCCACTGCTGCTGCCGGGTGCGTCAACCACTGCCAGCCTGGCAGAAGCAAGTACCTCCCCATCAAACTCCTCTCCTTCGATCGGCGCCCTGGAGCTCGACGCCCAGGGAAGCTTGATGTACACGCCCTCACCGGATTTCAAGTAAGCGCCTGGCTGGGGCTCCTCGGAGCCCGACGCTGGGTCAGCGGCGGAGGGGTCGGCAGTCGGTGCAGTGCCTCGCGCTCCTGCGTCCTCCGGGTCGTCAGTACGATCGCCGGACCCCTCGCCAGCTCCTGCGCCAGCAGCCTTGGCGGCCTCTTCGCCGGCGGGCTCCTCCGCGCCGGCCTCTTCCTCATCAGCGGCGACATCCCCAGTGTTGCCGCGCGCGCCCTCCTCGCCGGTGGCCTCGGTTTCCGTCGGGTCCCCAAGAGGAGGATCTGAAGACAGGAAGAGGAAGGAAAAGTCGAGCAGATATCCAAAAGGAAGAGAAAGAAGATCAGCAGAACCCGAGGGAAAGTTTCCGACAAGGAGGGTCACCTGTGCTGGGCTCTGTGATCATGGGCTCCACCACTGGGGGCTCGCCGGTTCCGCCCCTTGCCGGAGATCCCCTCCTTGCCGGGGAGTGCTCCCATATCGGGGAATCGCCCCTTGGTGGTGTAGTCGAAGCCGACGACACCTCCGGGTCGGCCTCCGGTGGCTCCTGGTGGGCTTGTTCTGCTCCTATACAAATGAGTCAATAATCAAGATGTCAGCAAAAGAAGAAGCACCCGTGCGCGCCCCACAACGGGAAGTGAACCAAAACACTTACGCTGGGGGCTGTGCTGGGGGCTGCCACGAGGAGAAGGGATCGGGTCCGTCAAGGTGGTCTCGGACGTATCTTCCGTCGTCACGGCAGGATCGTCCCGATGTCGACCACGGGGATCTTGGCCCTCTTCGCCGCCCTCTCGGCCAAAGTCCTGAAAAGGAACAGGAGTTCAGGGAGAAGCAAATTAGGTACAAGACAAACAACAACAAAGAAAGACAAGTGCAGTAAGAAGAAAGCCTCACTCCTCCTCATCCTCCTCCTCCTCCTCCTTTTCATCGTCATCGAAGCTCAGCGCGGAGAGGTCGAACTCCGGTACCCTCTCGGCGCGGCGCGGCGGAGGAGTAGGCTCCCTCCGGCGCTTGCCGAGGGCTGCGGCAGGATCAGGCGTGGTGGCCCGAGAAGACCCCCCTCAGTTGCCGGCACAGCCTGGGACCCTCCCGCGGCAACGTTACTTGCCGCGGTGGAGCGTGTCCCACGGCGCCGCGGCTGCTGGACGGCCTGCTCCTCTGCCAGCTCCCCAACTCGACGGAGACGCCTTCTCGGTCGGAATTGGGGCTGCGCTGGGGGCTCCGCCTGCGGCAAGTTGCTCGAAGACGGCTGGCCGCTCGCGCCCTCGGCGGGCTCGCTCGCTTCGACCTCGGCCTCCCCTTCACCATCGACTTCTCCGGCAAGATCTTCCCGGGCGGCGAGGCTTGCCGCCTCAGCTGCGTCCGCCTCCTCCAGCGTGAAGCCAAACTCACCCGCGGCAGCGGCTGCCGCCGCCTCTTCGGCCCTGCTAGCAATATACACCAGCCCGTTGGCAGTTGTGGCGCGGGTAAGGAGCTTCTGCTCGTCGGAGTTGACAGCCACCTCCGCCAAGTCATCGAAGAATTGCTGCACGACCTCGGCAGCGGGCTCTATCCAATTTGCACTTATCCTGTGCGAGTCGCACTCTGGCATCATTGCGCAGATGCGATCGCGCTGGGAGTTGTTGCACAAGGGGACGACGCCCTGCGGCAACT